TGTATTGTTAAGCTGATCATATCCCAGCTGCTTGCAGAGTGTCATTGCATTAAACAAATCAAAAGAAGTTGATCCACAAACATTCAACCATTCCTTAGTGAGAGTATCATTACCCTCCCCATAGGATACTTGGACCACACCCACTGAACTAGAACCAACCACAATCAACTGACGAACCTCTCCTAATCTAGGCCTCACTGAAAATAATAATAATAATAATTATTATTATTATTATTATTATTTATTATTACGTTCTATTGATTCACAGCTGGTAGTGTTAGATCCCTCCTCGTAATGAAGAGCTTCGTATACTAGAAACGAGACCACACCCACTTATAATCATTCTAATTAAAGTCCACACATACCACAGTGAACGTTGAGATCATAAGAATGGTAACACCGAGAACGAGAGGCTCTGGAACCAGTACATGAGACACAGGAACCAAGACAGACCTCAGTGGGGGAGGCTGAACAATATAAATTATCTAACCATATTGGGGTCTGGTAACTACCCTGACTAATATAAAATAAATAAATAAATAAATAAATATATATATATATATATATATATACAAATAATTAATTAAACACTTACAAGGTTCCGTTACTATAAGACTTAGCCGAGGTGTATCCCAGCTGTCTACAGACCAGGTGGGCAGCATCAGGAGTGAAGTACCTACCACAGACTGTCCCCCACTGGCCACTACAATAGACCTGTACCAGACCCTGTGTGAGGAATAATACCAGAACACTCATCAATTTTATCAGACCCCCTGTGTGTGCATTACATTTGAAGAAGTGGTCCCATACAATAATCTCAACTGACCGTCATAAGGAGGATTATTAGTGCTGTCTGAAATAAAACAAATATTAATTAATTAACTATTATTAATTAACTCACTGCAGTATAAAGTGACAAAGTTCTGTTGGCAGGTGCGAAAACCTTTCTTATAAGAACACCTCAACAAATGGAGGTACTCACTGTTGTCATAGCAATTGACCTCCGATATAAAAACAGAACCAATATCACTACCATAACTGAAGAAATAATAATCATTATTATTATTATTATTATTATTATTATTA